TAGCTCACACTGTGTTACAAGATTTAACTCCCATCTATTTAGAGTTTGGTTTTTTCCCTGTTCATTCTTCACTTTAAAGAAAGTTCAGACTTAGAAATTTCAAAAACAGGGGGTTCCTGTATACTCCTAGCCCAGCTTCTTCCAAATACTTACATCTTATGTAACCATAGTACAATTTGAAAACTCGGGAAATTATAATATTGATAAAATATTAGTTAATCTATAAATCTTATTCAGATTCTACTAGTTGTTTCCTGGCATCTTTTTTTCTGGTTTATGATCCAATCCAGAATCACGCCCTGCTTTGAGTTGTCATATCTCCTTAGCCTCCCTTCTATTTGGGAGGAGGTCTTCTGTATTTGTTGTTCATGACTTTGGTACTTCAGAAGGACAGAATGCCCCTCAATTTGAGTTTGTTCACTATGTCCCTATGGTTGGATCTAGGTTGTGCATTTTTGACAGAGAAGTGATGTTGTGCCCTTTGTAGGATGTGGTGTCAGAAGGCACATGAGTGGCTAAGGCTCATCACTGGTCACGTTAACTTGATCATTTGATTAAAGTGGTGTCTGGAAGGTTTCTTCAATCATAAGTTACCATTTTACCTTTATAATAGTCTTGAAACTATACAAATACCGAGGTTTATTTATTTATTTATTTTTTTACTCTGATCATAAATGATCTTTACTGAAGCATGCCTATTCTTGTAGCTCAAAACAAATATTTTAAAAGAATGATACACCTAATAAAAATTGACGTGTTTTATTTAAAATTATTATAGGGAAAAAAATAACAAATAAAATAAAATTATAATAGGGGCACCCAGGTGGCTCAGTAGGTTCAGCAGCTGACTTTGGCTCAGGTCATAATCTTGCAGTCCACGAGTTCCAGCCCCGTGTCAAGCTCAGAGCCTGGAGCCTGCTTCATATTCTGTGCTTCTGTCTCTCTCTGCCCCTCCCCTGCTCACATCTGTCTCTCCCTCTCACAAAAATAAATTTAAAAACATTAAAAATTTTTTTTCATAAATAAAATCATATTAAAAACAAATAGACATTTAGAAGATATTTGTCATTTTAGAAAACACAGGCAGTAAGAATTAAACTAACTTTCCAAACTCACTGCCAGAATTAAAATTGCATATCACAGAAATGTTTAGTAAAAAATATTGACCAACAGATTATAGCACAAAAGTTGAATAAATAAAAGCCTTTCTGATTCTTTTACCAAAAAATCATGAACTATTGAATTAACAATAGAAAGTTCACATTAACTTCAGAAAAAAAGGGCATCTACGCAAAGCAGTCAAGGTGATCTGTAAAATGCAGTGTTGTATTTACACTGTGTATGATCAACTGAATGCAATAAATTACTCTGGAGGACTTTTTTTTTTTTTTTTTTTTTTTTTTTTTTTTTTGTATTTATTTTTGAGAGAGAGCGAGACACAGCGAGACAAAGTGTCAGCTGGGAAAGGGCAGAGAGAGAGAGGGAGACACAGAGTCTGAAACAGGCTCTAGGCTCCTCACTGTCAGCACAGAGTCTGACATTGCGCTTGAACCCACGAACTGTGAGATCACAACCTGAGCCAAAGCCGGATGCTTAACAGACTGAGCCACCCAGGCGCCCCTGTATTATTTTTTTTAATGTTTATTTTTGAGAGAGAGAGTGTGTGCTAGTTTAGGAGGGGTGCAGAGAGAGAAGGAGACAGAGGATCCGAAGTGGGCTCTGAGATGACAACAGAGAGCTTGAGGTGGGACTCCAAACTCCCGAGCCGTGAGATCATGACCTGAGCCAAAGTTGGACACTTAACCAACAAAGACACCCAGGTGCCCCACAAATATCAAATTAAAAAAAAAAATTTTTTTTTTTAACATTTATTTATTTTTGAGAGATAGAGAGTGAGCAAGGAAGGGGGAGAGACAGAGGGAGACACAAAATCCAAAGCAGGCTCCAGGCTCTGAGCTGTCAGCATAGAGCCTGACGCAGGGGCTCGAACCCACAGATCGCAAAATCATGACCAGAGCCGAAGTCGGACACTTAACTGAGACACCCAGGCACCCCTAAAAATTGTTTAACGATAGTTTTTTATTGAGGTATGATTCATATTCTATATAATTCATCCATATTATCACAATGCCTGTTAAGTATTTAAATATCCCCTCAATACAATTATGTGACACAATTTACAATATTTGATTTACTGCATATGGACTGTCCAAAGGGGGTGGGTACTAATTATTATCACTCTTTCAGAAGTGAAGAAATAGAGATTCAAAGACATGAAGTGAGATTGTGACTTGCCTAGAGTTACACAGCTAGTAAGAAGCAGAGCAGGGACTCACAACAAGGTCTCTTCTGTGAAATGTCAAGGTGACTTTCCAGTATTTTCTGTCTCTGAACTAGGGCTTTCAGGGAGAGATTTAGGGGGCCAGAAGGTAAGTGCCGGAAGGTCAGGTGCCAGCTGAGGATGGGAGAGCAGGCTCTGGTTTGGGGGGAATAATGCTGATATGTAAGTCAACATCTCTTCCCTAAATAGTTCCCAGTCTGATGGGGAGTCCAGGGGTTCATCCTGAAGGAGTAAACAAGAATATGAAGCTGAAAAATACTAGGAGGAAAGATAATAAGTAATGTGGAACTCAGAAGAAGAAAGATACTGAGGAGGTGCAAATGAGTCTGACTGGGCAGTAGCAAGGAGCGATGCAGGAATTTATGGAGTCAAGGAGTTTTAGGAGATTTATAAAAATATCTGTTTCAAACCCCTCATTTATTTATTTTTTACTTTCTAATTTTTTTTTTTTTACATTTATTCATTTTTGAGAGACAGAGCATAAGCGGGGGAGGGGCAGAGAGAGAGGGAGACACAGAATCAGAAGTAGGCTCCAGGCTCCAAGCTGTCAGCACAGACCCTGATGCGAGGTTCGAACTCACAAACCGCGAGATCATGACCTGAGCTGAAGTCAGAAGCTTACCCGACTGAGCCACCCAGGCGCCCCTATTTTTTACTTTCTAAACGGCCAAGTCAATGACACAGTTTTTTCAAAGTTTATTTATATACCTTGAGAGAGAGAGAGAGAGAGAGAGAGAGAGAGAATCCCAAGCAGGCTCTGCACTATCAGCACAGAGCCCAATGGGGGGCTCGAACTCACAAACTATGAAATTTTGACCTGAGCAGAGATCAAGAGTCAGATGCTTAACTGACTGAGCCACCCAGGCGCCTCAAACCCCTCATGTAAAATCCAGCAGTTTTATTAACTATATCATGGTGTTTGCTGTTCTGGGTCCATTTTTTCAACTATGTGATAAACTCTTCGAATTTGTTAGTTCAAAACATTTTTTTATTTCAGGGAACTATGATTTTAGTATTTTGGGATTTTTGTTGTATTTTTTGTCTTCAGGGACTCTCATCTGTATATTAGAAGTTCTTTGCTTCAGTGGTTGTCACATTCTCTTGAATCCTTTTTATCTCTTCAAGTTTTGGGTTTTTATTTTAAGTTTTATTTGAGAGAGACAGAGATAGTGTAAGTGGGGGAAGGGCAGAGAGAGGGAGAGAGAGAATCTCGAGTGAGCTGTGCACCATCAGCGCAGAGCCTGATGCGGGGCTGGAACTCACGAAATCGTGAGATTGTGACCTGAGCCAAAACCAAGAGTCGGACACTTAACCAGCTGAGCCACCCAGGCACCCCTATCTCTTCAAGCGTTAAGGTTTTTTTATGAAAGTTTTCAATCCTGCAACAAAGTCTAAAGACTTTTACATTGAGCATTCATATACACACCATTTAGATTTTATCATTGACATTTTAATATATTTATTTTATCATGATGGATTTCTTTTAATGTTTATTTTTGAGAGAGAGGGGAACAGATGATCCAAAGCAGGCTCTGCACTGACAGCATCAAACCTGTTGTGGGTCTCAAGATCATGAGATCATGACCTGAGCTGAACCTGATACTCAACCAACTGAGCCACCCAGCCGCCCCTATCATGATGGATTTCTATTCATTATATTTTTGATACATTTCAAGGGATTTGTAGACAGTACCTTTCTCTCTAAATAATATAGCATGCATTTCATTGATCAGAATCCCATATGTATTTATAGGTTTTTCTCTTTTATATACAAAGAAATGCACAAATCTCAAGATTATATTCACTGAAGGGTTGGGTTTTTTGTTTTTTGGATTTTTTTTTTTTTTAGCTTTATTGAGGTGTAACTTACCCACTATAAAATTCATTTGTTGTATGCTTTCAGTGATTTTTAGTTACTTTACAGAGTTGTACATCTAATACAATTTAATTTTAGAATATTTTCATTACCCCAAAAAGAACCTCATGCCCATTTTCAGTCACTTGTTATTCCCACCCTCGGTCTTAAGCAACCACTAATCCAATTTCTATTTCTGTATCTTTTCCTTTTCTGAACATTTCATATAAATGCAATCATATAATATGTGGTCTTTGTATCTGGCTTTTCTGACTTAGCATGTGTATGAGATTCATCCTGGTTGTAGCATTTGTCAGTGGCTCGTTTTTTTTTGTTTGTTTGTTTTTTTATTGGCCCAATAATATTCCATTGAATGGATACACCACATTTTGCTTATTATTTTATTTACACTTGAATTATTTCCTATTGGCTGAATGAATAATGCTACTATGAACATTCTTATACATGTTTTTATCTGGACATACAGTTTCGTTTCTCCTGGGTTTATGCCTAAGAGTGGGATTGCAGGGTCGCATGTTAACTTTATGGTTAGCATTTTGAGAAGCTGCTAAACTATTTCCTCAAGTGGCTGCACCATTTTAGGTTCCTGCCATCCACATACCAGGGTTCTGATCCCTTCACATCTGGGCTTCATGAAGGTAGGAATGAACGCCAGTCCCAGGTTCATCTTTATGTGCCCAGGGTCTAGCGGGGGCATGCCACAGAGGCTGTCGTTGAGCGTTGTTCGGCTTGCGTGACTCTCAGCCCATGCTTCTCACTTTGTTCCCTTTTGTTCTTTCCTAGGGGCTCAACTGGAAGTTTCCAGTTGTCTGGAAAAATGCCGGATGAGCTCTGCAGATGCTGGGAGGCAGCCCTTCTCTGGAAAGTCCTTTTATCTGGATCTGCCTGCTGGCAAGAGTCTCCAGTTTTTGACGGGGGCCATCCAGCAGCTGGGTGGGGTATGTAACCTGCTTGTGACTTGTGATATCATGTGCCTTTGTGGGTTATCGGGCAGGAGCTGGAGAGGGATTGTATCTGTTACTTCTAGGTATTTGATATCTTCGCTTCTGGACTCTTAGTTTTCACAGCTTCATTTTATTATTATTTTTCTTTTTTAATATCTATTTATTTATTTTGAGAGAGAGATGTAGAGAGCGAGCAGTGGAAGGGTGGAGAGAGAGGGAGACAGAGAATCCCAAGTAGGCTCCCCACTGTCAGCATGGAGCCCAATGCAGGGCTCGAACTCACGAACTGTGAGGTCATGTCTTGAGCTGAAATCAAGAGTTGAAGGCTTAGCACCCAGGTGCCCCTTTTTTCACCGCTTTCTTGAGATGTAATCCATATACCATACAGTTCACCCATTTAAAATGTACAACTCAATGGTTTTTGGAGTATTCACAGAGATATGCAAGCTGTGTGAATACACAGTTTTAGAACCTTTTCATCACCCCAAAAAAGAAAGCCATACCCGTTGTCGGTCACTCCCCATTTCTCCTCAATACACCCAACCTGGGTAACCACTCCTCTACTTCTGTCTCTATTCTTTTTTTTTTTTTTTTTTTATGTTTATTTTCTGTGTAGCTATGTGATCATGAATACATTTTTGATTACCAACGTTTTGCCCATAACCTTAAAGCATTAGCACTTTGCTATCATTATTGTCCCTCATGTTATTTGTAATGAGAATATATTTCTTTGAGTGGATTATTAATTTACCTAATGGTTACTCTGTGGACATTGAGATTATTTCTAAATTTTAACTCTTTTACATAACACTGGTGAAAAACTTCCCATAAGAAGCATTTGCCGTATTTGAGTCCTTTAAAATATTTTTAAGCCATGTGTGTGCCGTGTGGCACTTTTTTTTTTTTTTTTTTTTTTTTTTTTTTCCAACGTTTTTATTTATTTTTGGGACAGAGAGAGACAGAGCATGAACGGGGGAGGGGCAGAGAGAGAGGGAGACACAGAATCGGAAACAGGCTCCAGGCTCTGAGCCATCAGCCCAGAGCCCGACGCGGGGCTCGAACTCACAGACCGTGAGATCGTGACCTGGCTGAAGTCGGACGCTTAACCGACTGCGCCACCCAGGCGCCACCCAGGCGCCCCCGCGTGGCACTTTTAGTAAGGGGTTGACATGGGGAACTCTCGAGTTTCGAAAATGGGATGATAGTGCTCGGCTCCAAAGAGGCGGGCAACTAGGGAAATGACTTGAATAAGCTTGGAATGCAGAGGCTCTTTTCTGTCAAATGAACAAAAGCTCAGGAATATAGAAGCTTGGCAATGGAGAATGTACCAAGTGTTGATTATACACCCAAACTGGCCCCAAATTACCTTTTGAACTTTTAGTCCCTTCTATCATTTAGCCTGTGCTGTGTGAAAAAACCACTCCAGAACTGGAGCTTAAAACAAGTTATTTCTTACTACTCTGTGGAGCAGCTGGGTGGTTTCTCTGTTGGTTTCATCAAGGCTCCCGCCTACAGCTGCATTTGGGTGGAGGGTCAGCTTGGCTGGAAGGATGGAGTTGACCTCACACATCTGGGAGTTGGTGCTGGCTGCCTCTCTATGGCTTCTCAGGTGTCGTTTGAGAGGCTTCTTACATATGTTGTATATATGTGTAACATCATACGTGTATACAGTAAGCTAGACCAGCCTGTTGACACGGCGGTCTCATGGTAGCTTTCTAAGAAGGTGAAAGGAGAAGCTACACGACCTCTTGAGACTCAGGCTCTGGAACACGTTTCACTACATTGTATTGTTCCAGAGGAGTCTGATTGAAGGCGATGGAAGAGGGGGCTCTGCCTCCTGATAGGAATAGCCGTCACATTGCAGAAGAGTAGGCAGACTGGAGTGGGAGCCACATGCAGCCATCGAACCATCGGCCGCGTTTATATAGGACAGTCATTGTCCTCCTACCCCCCCCACCATTTGTTTTTGCCATATTACAGAACATAGGTACTCTCATTCAAGCCATAACTTTAAAGATTCTTTTTGTGATAAAACGTACACAACATAAGATGTGCCATTTTAATCCTTTGTAAATGTACAGTTTTCAGCATTAATTACATTCACGCAGCTGGGCCGCCGTAACCACTGTTTCCACAACTTTTATCACCCCAGACAGACACTCTGTAACCAGTAAGCAAGAACTTCCCACTTCCCTTTTCTGCAACCCCTGCCCAATCCACCGTCTGTCTCTGTGAATTTGCCTATTCTAGAGACCTGTCAGTGGACTCACAGATAGTCGTTCTTTTGTGTCTGCCGCCTTTCGCTTAGCGTAATCTTTTCCAGGCTCATCCATGTTGTAGCGTGTATCTTCACTTCATGTCATGACTGAGCAATATTTTGTTGTATGTACACATCACATTTTGTCTATCATCTGTTGGTCACTTGAGTTATTTGCATTTTTTGGCTATTATAAATAATGCTGCGGTGAGCAAGGATGTACAAGTATCTGTTCAAGTCCTTGTTTCCAGTTCTTTGGGGGGCGTTCCTAGAAGCAGAATTGCTGTGGTAGACGTTGGTAGACCGTGTTTAGCTTTTTGAGGGACTTAAACAGTTGTTGGTTTTTTTGTTTTGTTTTTGTTTTGTTTTAAGCTCAGTGCTAAGTTTCTCATCCAGTCCACCCTTCAGAGAGGGCCATCATTCATCCTGACTTTTAGTGGTGTGCTGGAGGTGGAGCCAGTTGTTAGCATCTCTTTCCAGTTCCACGTTCAGTAACATCATGTCAGTAGCTTGCAGTCAGCCATAGCGGGAGTTCTGACCCCCCAGAAATCAGCACATGCTTCGTGGCAGGGATTTTTCCCTGGCGAGTGGGTCACTAAGCATTAGCCACCTCGCCACTGCTTATTTCCATCTTTTCTTCTCCCCACAAATATGAGTTGAGGGTCCTTGTGCTTCAGGCACTGTGTTGGGCCCTTGGGATACAAAGATGAGTCAGACCCTCTCAGTGCCAACGAGGAGCTTACAGGTAGGATGAGCAGATACCTGTGCAGCTCAGTAGCAGCCAAACTCTTGTCTTGTTTCATGTTTTTGTTCCTATTTTTGGTAGTGTGGTCAGGATCACAGGCGCGGTGTCTGGATGCCCCCGAGTATCTTCACAGGAATGCCACGGCTTAACCAGCTACTTTTAATCCTGTTGGGCCCCGCCAGTGTGCTCTTTCTCTGTGCAGACTCAATCTGGTCAAACCACAGAGCCTCTGGCCTTCTGCTGCTGGGTCAGGAGCAGCAGTTCTGGAGACAAAACCTGTATTATATATATAAACCCTATTATGTTTCAGGATGATGTCCTCTTGAGGGCTCGGTGCAAAACTGCACTTGGTCTATTTAAGGACATTGATTCTGAAACTTCTGGCAGCCAAGATTTCCTTCCCCAACCTCTCAGAATCGATAATTCTACATCTGCCTTCTGGTTTTCAGCCACCTCTGTGATCTGGTTTCAGGTAATTGAGGGTTTTCTGAGCAAAGAAGTAAGTTACATCGTGTCCAGCCGCAGGGAAGTGAAGGCAGAGAGCAGTGCGACAGACCACAGAGGCCGCCCCAGTCCCAGCGAGGTCAGGGTGCAGACACCGTCCACGGCCCATCCGAAGTGCGGCCACCCCCGGCCTCCACAGAAACCCACAGACTCGGTAAGAACCTCGTCAGGTAGGAAAGGTGTGTTTTCTGAGCAACGGAAATAGGCCTCGGTGAGCCGTTGTGGGCGGTCTCTGGCTTTAGTTCCATCTGGATTAATTTAACCTCTCATTTGAATTCAGAGACTGAAAATATTTTATCATAGCTCTAGATCTAAAAACCTTCGCAACTGGTTATCCCCACGCTGTCCCTTCTGTGATACATTTCACTTTTTTTTTTTTTTTTTTTTTTTTTTTTTTTTTTTTTTATTTATTTTTGGGACAGAGAGAGACAGAGCATGAACGGGGGAGGGGCAGAGAGAGAGGGAGACACAGAATCGGAAACAGGCTCCAGGCTCTGAGCCATCAGCCCAGAGCCCGACGCGGGGCTCGAACTCACGGACCGCGAGATCGTGACCTGGCTGAAGTCGGACGCTTAACCGACTGCGCCACCCAGGCGCCCCATATACATTTCACTTTTTAAGGGACTTCAGAGTCAGAGGGTCAAAAACAATAGGAAGGTCCTCTGTAAACCAGAGAGGGCGTGTTGAAATTGGCCCAGACCTGTCTGCCAGGGGTGTGGAGACTTGTAAAGAGAGGTCTGAGAGTACTGGTGACACTTTGGCCTTGGGTAAATCCAGAATGCGCTTCTCCACCTGGGTCCAAGCTGCAGCTACCTGTGGGTGACCCGGGACTGTGTGTGGCTGTACCTTTACCTCCAAAAGGTTCTCTAGGCTTCTGTTTCTGCTGCTCCTCAGCTGTCAATGCTCCCAGCTTTCCAAGACACATGACTCCCAAGCCCTCACCAGCACCTGTGTGAACATCTGTTTGTGCACAGGTGGGCTGCACAGCGTACCTCATTGCCCTTCTCTTCCTGTCAGGTGCCTTTGAGCAGAGGGAAGGAGCTACTGCAGAAAGCCATCAGAAACCAGGTGAGCGGAGGGGGGCGGGCTGCAGGTGGACTTCTCTGGCACAGGGGAGGATCTAACCTTTCTTAGGAGGGGCTTCTGAAGTACTGACACAGAACGCACAACCTGTGAGACGTACCGTCCTTCTTTTCTTCTTACAAATGAGGAAGTAGAGCTCAGAGAAGTTCAGTGATTTGTCCAGGGTCACCCAGGGTGGCGGTGGTAGAGCCCAGATTTGACTCCCTAATCCTTCCAACACCAGAGCCTAGCACGAGCACCTTGGAGGGGATGCCGCGCTGCACATAAGCCGGACTTTGTGCATCTTTTAGCAGTTTGTCCCTTTTGTGGGACCCAGAGCCATGAAAGTGAAGCAGCGGGGGGAGGAGTTCAGGTGATCTCGGGAGCACAGTGGGTAAAGTGGCATCGAGAAGGGGGTGCAGGCTGTGGCGGGGGAAGGCTGTGTGCCGTCCTGGGGCAGCAGGGCAGGAACGGCCTGAGGCCAGCACAGCTTCCTGCTTGATGATGGTGACGGTCGGTCGGTCACCAGTATTTATTGTGAGAGCTTTCCTCCAAGAGGCCCTCCTGACAGCTCTCTGGGAAGCCTGTGCTGCTTCCTGGTCACAAGTGCCTGGAGCAGCAGCCCCCGCCTCCCGCTGTGGCCAGCGCTTGTGGAGGAGAGGGTCTTTCAGGGGACTGGGGTAGACTCTCCCATAACGTCTCTTCACGGGGTGCCTCAGAGCCACTCAGGCCTTGGGGAGTCTCTTGCTCCTGCCTGACTGCTTTGTCTTCCCAGGGGAGCAGCAGCGGAGGAGGTGGCGGGAGCAGCAACAGTCTCCTGACCAGTGCCCGCTCCTGGGGAGTGAGGATCCTGCATGTGGACGGTACCATTTCTGCCCAGGGCTTCTGCAGAGGGGTGTTGGTGACTGACTGGGAACATCCGCTTTTAGAGGGATGTCAGCCAGTATGAGCTAGCTGAAAGCCGAATGTACCCACTCATCATGTGGCCCCCCAGCGGTGGGGGGTGTGGAGACCAGCAGTAGTCCTAGCAGGTGCTCGGTCCTAGCACCTAGGACAGTGCTGCTTTGTGGAACGCCCTACAGCTCTCCTCAAGCTGGTGTGATGACCCTTTTCACAAACCGGAAACCCTCCTGGTAGCCACAACCACTTACCAGCTGTGACTCTATGCTAGGAATGAGCTCAAGTCAGTCCCCACTGCAGTCATTTGTCCATTGTACAGATGAGGTAATTGAGCCTTAGATGTTAAATAAATTACCCATAGTTTCATCAGAAGTGAGGGGTGTGTGGGGCGCTTGGGTGGCTCAGTCGGTTGAGTGTCTGACTTCGGCTCAGGTCATGATCTCACGGTCTGCGAGTTCGAGCTCCGCGTCAGGCTCTGTGCCAACAGCTCGGAGCCTAGAGCCTGTTTCGGATTCTGTGTCTCCCTCTCTCTCTGCCCCTCCCCCGTTCATGCTCTGTCTCTGTCTCAAAAAAATAAATAAACGTTAAAAAAAAAAAAAAATAGTCATATAAAAAAGAAGTGAGGGGTGTGGCCCACATTCCAACCTAGTTTGACCTGACTAAATTTCATGTGCTTTCGGGGAGCCTCTCTGGCTCGGTGGGTAGGGCATGCAACTCTTTGATCTTGGGGGTGTGAGTTCGAGGCCCACATTTGGCATAACCTCTAATTTCTTAAAATTATTTTTATACAAAATTTTAACTAAAAACATTTTTTTTTTAATAAAATCTTAAACTTTTTACGTGGGGCGCCTGGGTGGCTCAGTCGGTTGGCCATGACGACTTGACTCGCTCAGTCATGATTGCTTGTCCATGAGTTCGAGCCCGCCGTCAGGCTCTGCTCAGCTGACAGCTCAGAGCCTGGAGCCTGTTTCAGATTCTGTGTCTCCCTCTCTCTGACCCTCCCCCATTCATGCTCTGTCTCTCTCTGTCTCAAAAATAAATAAACGTTAAAAAAAAATTAAAAAAAAAAAAACTTTTTTCGTATTTATGCAGGGTTTCCTCGCTGTAACCACCTGTTTGCAGGCTGTAATAAATTTACATTAGAATAGCTATCCTAGGGGCAACTTGAGTGGCTCAGTTGGTTAAGCAACTCATCACAGGTCATCATCTCATGGTTCCTGAGATCGAAAGATCAAGACGCTGGCTCCGTTGGAAACAGCACAGAGCCTGCTTGGGATCATATCACACTCTCTCTCTCTCTCTCTCTCCTCCTCTCACCTCTCACCCTTCACCTCTCTCTCTCCCTCTCACCCTCTCTTCTCTCTCTCACCCTCTCTATCCCTCTCCCCTCCCTCTCCCCCACACCTCCCCTGCTCATGCTTGCTGGCACACACAACATGTACAGACTCTCTCTGTGTCAATAAATAAACTTTTATTTTTTAGTTTTTATTTTGAGATAGCACTTATTTTATGTACGAGGGAGGGCAAGGAGAGATTGGGAGAGAGAGAATCCCAAGCAGGCTCTATGTTGTCAGCACAGAGCCCGATGCAGGGCTCAAACCCATGAACCATGAGATCATGACCTGAGCTGAAAACAAGGCGGGATGCTTAACCAACTGAGCCACTTACTCAGGTGCCCCCAAATAAATAAACTTAAAAAAAAAAAAGAATCGCTGGCAGTGACTGACTCTCACACGCAGCTCCACCTTGAGTCTAGGGTTTTCTCTAATCCATTGTAGGGGGCTGAACCCGATCCAGCCCAAGATCTGCCAGGGCAATAGAAAACTGCTCAGGAAGGTCCTGGTCTGGGATGTGGGGGGCTCCCATTGTCACTAGAAAATCAGCCATTTCTGACGTGGTCTAATTTCCTGCCTTCCAGTGTGTTAGGGAAGCTCCTGCTGGGTCTGCCATATACAGCTACATCTGAGTAAGTCACATGACTGGTCTCCTCCCAATGGAAGCAGCTCTTCAGTGGTACATTACATTTTTTTTTTTTCAACGTTTATTTATTTTTGGGACAGAGAGAGACAGAGGCAGGAACGGGAGGCAGAGAGAGGGAGACATTAATCGGAAACAGGCTCCAGGCTCTGAGCCATCAGCCCAGAGCCTGGCCGAGCTCAAGACTGCGGACCATGAGAGACCAGCGACCTGGCTGAAGTCGGACGCTTAACCGACTGCGCCACCCAGGCGCCCCTTCAGTGGTACATTAAAGCCCGTGTGAGCCATAAGGCACCTCCTGTTCAAGAGTTGTGTTCAGTACTACAAAACAGAGTGGGGCCAGCTTAGGTACTTTTCCCAGGATAGATGACCCAGCCCTTTCTTTTATTATCAGCAGGTGCAGAGGTGACACATAGCCAGAAGGTGGCAGGCAAGGCTGGTGTGATCCAGTGGGCCAGGCCAGTGAAAAGTATAGCCCCTGGCCCCAGGAAGGGGCCATGCTGGGGAGATGAGGAGTGGCAGTCTGGCCACAGCCCTCTGTTTCTTCCACAGAAATGATGATGCACGTGCAACAGCTGTCTCTTGACGCCTTGCGTGTGAAGAAACAGGGGCCAAAGAAGAAGCCAGAGGTAAGTCATCCTGCTGAACTGAAAGGAAATAGATGGTTTGTAAACAGTTAAGTCTGTGACAACTTTGGTAAATCAGTGCCCCGTGCAGCCGTGTGTTCTTGGCCATCCTGGATCATGTACAAGAAGTGCAGCCTCTCAGCACACCCCTGATGTCCACAGCCTCCCATTGCCCTGTTCCCTCTTCCCTGTGTTACCTACAGATCTCCCGTGGTATACTGAGGCATTCACCGTGGCCTAGGCCGGGGACTGCCTGTGGGTAGTCCTGGCCTAGATAAAACATAAATGATCATGGCCTGCTGGCCAGGCTGCTGTTCCGGGGACAGCTCTTGGCCAGGGATGAGCCTGCAGATTGCATGGGTGGGGGCAGGGGATGTTGTGGTTTGAAATAGCTGTCACCTTCCAAATTCTTATTTGGCTTTTCCTTCCTTTGCTGGAGTTGGAACTGTGTGTACCACACACCAAAACCCAGGCTGATTTTTAAAGTCATGGTGTCTTCATCCAGTCTAAATCTGAGAAAGGATTAAGCCTTGCAGGTTCACCCAGGGCCTGGCACCCAGGAATAGGACCAACAGTGGTAGTAGACCACAGCCATACCAGATGGAACCTCTGCCTCAGCTCCCCTCGCTCCACACCCTCTGGTCTGGGAGTCTTCGGGGTTTTGCTGCTGCTATTAAATAGATTTTCATTGTTCACAATTCAAAAGGTTATGCAATGAGTCTCTCTCCCCTGCGACTTCTCTTCCCCAGCCACCAAGCTCCCTCCCTGAGATAAACAGTGCAAACAGTTTTTCAGGTTTCCTTCCAGGATCCATGCATGTACAAACAGATAGGTCAAAGTCCCCCCCCCCTTTATGCAAATGCACAGTATTTTTCTTTGCTTTGTTCACTTAATAATCTATTTTGTAGATACTTAGGGATCTTCCAGAGTGAGTTCTGGGTGCAGTCTGCTGATGTTTGAGGAAATACGGAAGCTGCTTTGGGTCATGTTTGCCCTGGAGGTGTGGCCTAGAGAGAATCCTAATCTCACTGGGCCCAGAGGCACAGACAGTCAGGGACCCACTAGATCTCTCCTGCCCGCCCCCACCCCAATTCTACCTGCTTTCTTACATTTTTCCATTTAGTTTGTAATATTAGTTTGACCTTGGCCTAAACGTTGGTCTTGACCAAGAGAGTCCTAATACACAAGACAGGGCACAGGAAGGCAAGAGGCAGTCTCTTTACACTTGTCCTGTAAGCTGATCTGGGATGCCAGCAGTGCCTAGGAAATGCAAGCTGCCATTTAGTGAGCACCTGCTCTGCATCAGTCTATTATCTACTTTGTTTGCATTTGTGCCACATCGGCCAGGTAGGGAGGTGCTTGTCACACCCCGGGTGGCACAGCTCCACTTGGTGCCCAGGCCTGGGGCTTCTGTGGCTCTTGCTCTTCACTGTCCTGCATTTCCTCCACAAAGTCAGCTGCCACTGAGATGCACACACCGCACTCACTGCTCCTCATGTCCCTGGGGAGGCAGAGGGAGCCGTCCTGTCAAGTTGGCTCCGCTCAGGGCCCAGCCCATAGCAGGAAGCAAAGTGGGGCAGACTCACAGCGACTCGGTTCACCGGGCCCTCTTCCTCGACCCTCTAGCTCCCTCGCATCCTTAACCTATTTTCCCTTTCCATTTAGGGAACGTGTCCAGCAGAGTCAAGAACGCGGAAAGGTCAGTGTGGTAGCTTTCCTCATCTAATTGCAGTCCCTCCCTCCTAAACGCTTCCCCACGGCTCCCTCTGTGGCAGCATCTGCTCACTTTTCTGCGGCAGGAAGCGAGTCCAGGTTGTGTTGCCCTGTTGTGTTTCCAGGGCCTGAGCTTTGCAGACAGGAGGGCAAGAGAGGGGTATCCATGAGCAAGTCCAGGGCTGCCCAGCCGGGGCTCTTCCTTGGCGCCAAGACCCCACGCAGCCGCTCTGGCTCCTACATCCCCTGCCCATTCTGGGCATTAACTGAAGTTCGGCTTCCTTTTCCTTCTGATTCAAGAGCAGTTTGGGGTGGGCAGTTTGACAGCTGCCTACCACTTTCCCAAATGCCAAACTCCCTGAAATTGACAAACAGGCAGATTGACAGCCCGGCTCCCAGCCCCTCTTGGACCGCAAGAGAGTTTCTCCCCCTGGATGTTTCTCCCAAAGATGCTCTTTAAGTGGCATTTATTCGTGCACAAGCAGGAGCTAAGAAAAGTCACTTGGCACCTCTCATGTTCAAAATTCAAGGAAATCTGTGGGGGAATTGATTTTAATCACTGAGTTAATTAGAAAGACAAGAAATCGCCCCCAAAAAGTAATTAATGGGAGCTGCTGCCATGTGAGGAGTGAGGCTGCTTTTTGCTTGGGCGCTGGTGGAGCCTGGAGTGGGTCTGCGAGCTGGGAGGCGCCAGCCTCTGGATGGGGTCTGGGGCTGTTATCTCTGACAGGGCTTTGGTCACTGTGGGAAGTAGAGGTGGTTCTTAATACCTAAGAGGTTTTAGAAACTGTGTGAATAATTAGCTAGTAGAGGATGAATCTCCTGATTAACTGAGCAAATTTGTCTTCCCAGCACCCCTTTGCCCTGTTCATTCAGGAACGAGATTTCACCCTTGATACGTTTTTTTTACTGCCCTCTGCTGTGATCCCTAAACACTCTTTAGCTCTCTTCCTCCCAGCTTTCCCCCAGAAAACCCAGGATCCTCCGGGAGTGTTCTGCCTGAGAGTGTTCTCGGGCCCCTCAGGATTCTGAGACTCCCAAGAGGAAAGGTCAGGGAAGGACCCAGGGCTTTAAGCAGAAACCAGCTGGGGCTGGGTTCTGCCCCGCAGCCAGGTTTCTGACCTGCGGCTCACAGCCTCCAGAATCCACACACGGGAGGGTCCTGTACCCTGCTTTGGGGCTCGGGGCACCCTGCGGCCTCTCCCCAGTGGGGGAATTCTCTCTCCCAGGGTAGAGGCCGGAGGAGATGGGAATGGGTGTCCTGCCTCAGCCAAATGGAAAGGTGTGCCTCGGGGTGGCGTAGGCTCCTGCTCTGAGCAACTCTTAAACCTTGGCAGAGCCTTACCTCTCTAGCGTTTCCTGTGTGTGTGTGGTGTGGGCCCTGCATCGGAGCCCACAGATGGCTGACGTATGTGCTTTTTCTTTCCAGTGGCCAGACTGAAGGCACCATTCCTCAAAATTGAAGATGAGAGCAGGCAAGTAGTGGTGGTTGGCTGGAGGGTGGGGGGGCCTCTCCCCTTTCCCTCCCCTCAGACCCACCAGGCCCGCACAGAGGAGAGGTGCTCAGGGGCCCCAAGCTGACGTGGGGGTCATGGAGCCCCTCAGCCCTGCACCTTCATCTTCCCCAGAAACTGCTTTCCCCCCTGTCATGGAGAAGTCTCCCACAGACCAGGAGGAGCCTCTGAAGGTGGCATTGCACAGGTGGCACTCCTCTTGGTCATGAGTCAGAGGTTAGTGACCCTGTGTGTGAATTACCTCTTTCTAATGCTCTGCTTTTATGAGCACATGATGTCCCATCCAGGCTCATTACTGCTCCTCGTTTCCCTGTGGCATACACTGATGCTTAATACCGAATTGTTGCTGGCCCAGGACAGTGCCAGTATGGTCCTCGTGACCAAAGCCAGGGCTCTTGGGGTGGTGTTGGAGACTCCCTTGTCAAACCACCCTGTACTGGAAGCCTTTCTGGTTGGCTGTGCAAAACCCTTTTCTGACAGCTGCTCTCTCATGAGGAGAAAGACTGGCATGAGGAGACTCTACCCTTTTCCTAGTGGGGAAATCAAGGTCAGAGAAATTAAGGGACTTGTATATGGCCATTTTGCCAATGAATCTTAGCCCGAGGCCAGAATCCAGATGTCCTGCCTGGTGTCCTTTTCACTCAGCCCTAAATGTCCACCAGTATGGCCCCTTCTTACCTAGAGCAGAGGGTCACCTTGGTTATTACTGACTCTTCGATAAGCACTAGATCAAAAACCTGCGAATCTATAATTATCTCAGAGGTTTTTCTTAGGGAGAGGGAGACACAGAATCCAAAGCAGGCTCCAAGCTCTGAGCTGTCAGCACAAAGCCCAATTTGAGCCTTGAACCCACGAACCATAGGATCATGACCTGAGTTGAAGTCGGACACTTACCCAACTGAGCCACCCAGGTGCCCCTAAAGATTTTTTTGTTTTTTTATTTTTAAAGAAAAAGCTCATGTGAACCTAGCAGGGACTTCCCAGGACCAGAGCTTTCTGGGTCCCTAAGCCTCAGGCAGGGCAGCTAAAAGACCTGGTGCTGGGAGCCTGGCATGCCTGCCTACCCTCCAGCTGGACCTAGATTTCCTTCTCTGTACCTGACCACAGTACAGAATTGGCTTTGGTGACCCAAAAATTAGCGGAGGGAACACAGAAAAGTAATGAGGTGCTCTCTCCTTCAGTTCCAGTTGCGGGCGGGGGGTACTTCCCAAACTCAGCCCCTTCACTACCAGTTAAATACAAGTAGCGATGACTCATACACAGCGGCATAAGAGACGCCACCAGTGCCTCAGCGTCTCACTGCACGTGGCACAGGCGACATCACTTACTGGAATGGTGTCCACGTGTTTGTGTGCCCCTGGCATCACAGGCAGGAGTGGAGATGAGGTTTCTTGTGGTTCTGTTTATGCGCTCTTCTGAAGCCTTGTAGCTTCACCCACCTCAACTTTGCAACCTTCTAAGCAGAAACAAAACATTGAGGAGGAAGAAAGAGGGGTACTGGGGTGGTGAAGTGCACCTCCTTCTTCTTAAGGATCCAAGAAGACCCTGTGGGCCACAGGGCTCCCACCATGCCCTGCCCAGGGAACCCATGGCCTGCACTCTCTCCTGGAGTGCCCACTGTTTCAACCAAACATGGTTTCCAAGCCTGCAAGTTCTATGAGCAGGCTTTGCTGAGTATCCACAGATCCCCAGATCTGGTTCTGAAAGTTTCTGGAACATGAGCAACTTTAGGCAAACCACCAAAACAACTCAGTATAGATCTGACTACCCAGAACCTTCACTGTGCTTCTCTTTCCCATTCAGAATACCTCCACTCGGGTGGTACAAAGGAGCAGCCCAGAGCAAAAATGTTCCTCTTCTTGGAATAGGAAAATCACTGTTCTGGTTTAAACCTTCCTCCATTTAGGTCTGTCAGGCTAGAGTCCTCAAACATGGTTTGTTTTATTTATTTTTTAAATACTTTATTTTTAAATAATCTCCACACCCAATGTGGGGCTCAAACTCCCAACCCCAAGATCAAGAGTCGCATGTGCCACTGACTGAGCCAGCCAGGCACCCCCTTAAAGGTGGTTCAGGGTCAGGAAGCAAAGTAGAGAGATAGATCACTAGTTGGGAGACATGCCCTATTGCCTGGTCTTGACCACTCACCAGTCATGAGCCCTTGGGCAAGTCACAGAACCTTTTGGGCTCCGTTTCCTCTTGTGTAAAAATGGGCTAAGAACCACTTGTTCCCATTAGCTCAGATGAGGCAGCGAGGTAAACTGGGCTTTGATGAGTAGACCGGGAGAGCATAAATATTCATCTAACCAGGAAGGCTGGTGAGGGTTTGGTTCTAGAACCGAAAACCCTGTGCAGGGGAGTGGCCGTTTTATCAGGATTGGAATTCTTGGGGGGTTGGGACTGGCCGCTTTCCTCATCCTATCCTTGCCCCACTGTAGTCAAAATGGAAGTTTTCTGTGTTTCAGGAAGTTTCGTCCTTTCCACCATCAGTTTAAATCCTTTCCTGAAATTTCTTTTCTGGGACCCAAAGATGCAAGCCCTTTTGAAGCCCCGATGACCCTGGGCAGCTCGCATCATACCAGGTGGGTCTTTCTGGTCTGAGTACCAAGGGCTGGTTGCAGGCAAGGTCCTTCCCCTCCAGAGCCTGCTGGTCTGATTTGGGAATGGCCATGTGTTCGCTCCTTAGGCAAAGTCTATTCTGGGAACTTAGCCCAGACCCTAGGAGTCTTCATCCGTTTTACTTGGTGCTTTCCGTCCCTACTGAAGAATTTGACTTGTGTCCAGAGGGCAGTAGACTGGTTTCTAACAGGTCTACAGACCATTTTTATCAGAGTCCCCTGGGGTCCCATTAAAAAGGCAGGTTCTCATACTCCACACCTACAGAATCACAGTCTCTGATGATGAATCCCCCAAAACTGCATTCCTGTGAGCTCCCAGGTGATTTTTATGCACATCAGAGCTGGAGGCCTTTGGGGCTGAACATCAGGAATAACTAAGGGGCAAGGAATCTGGGGACCTACCGCATTGTGTGCCCCAGAGTGGTTCATAGGCTGTGGGTGTTCTTCCTCCGCAGATGTGTGAGAATGTGAACCTTCACTGAGCAGAATGCAGCAGGGAGGACTACAGGGAGAGAGTGGCCCAGGGGCGGGGGCAGAAGGGGCGAGCTGGAGAAAATCTGTGGGAGGAAATGTTTAATATTTTTCATTTTTAAATTATTATATTTTAGTTCCAAATTCAGAAGTTACAGAGGGTTTAAAATGAAAAGTCTGGGGGCGCCTGGGTGGCGCAGTCGGTTAAGCGTCCGACTTCAGCCAGGTCACGATCTCGCGGTCCGTGAGTTCGAGCCCCGCGTCGGGCTCTGGGCTGATGGCTCGGAGCCTGGAGCCTGTTTCCGATTCTGTGTCTCCCTCTCTCTCTGCCCCTCCCCCGTTCATGCTCTGTCTCTCTCTGTCCCAAAAATAAATAAACGTTGAAAAAAAAAAAATTTTTTTTTAAATGAAAAGTCTGTATTCCACACCTGCCCTCTAATCTCCATAGTGTGGGTCTGTGTCCACACGTAGTTTATGCATCCTTTTCTCTTATATAAAGAGTAGCATAACATTGGGCTGTTTCTAGCTTTTTCCACTTGATGTATTCTTCTTTTTTTTTTTTAATGTTTATTTATTTTTGAGACAGACACAGATCGTGAGTGGGGAAAGGGCAGAGAGAGAGGGAGACACAGAATCTGAAACAGGCTTCATGCTCTGAGTTGTCAGCACAGAGCCCAACATGGAGCTCGAACTCACAAACCATGAGATCATGACCTGAGCCAAAGTCGGATGCTTAACCAACTGAGCCACCCAGGCGCCCCCCACTGATGTACTCTAGATTAATTTCCTATTGGTCCCTAGAAAGCATCCTCATTTTTTTTTTAATTTTTTTTTTCAATGTTTATTTATTTTTGGGACAGAGAGCGACAGAGCATGAACGGGGGAGGGGCAGAGAGAGAGGGAGACACAGAATCGGAAACAGGCTCCAGGCTCTGAGCCATCAGCCCAGAGCCCGACGCGGGGCTCGAACTCACGGACCGCGAGATCGTGACCTGGCTGAAGTCGGACGCTTAACCGACTGCGCCACCCAGGCGCCCCAGCATCCTCATTTTTTAATGATTTTTTTAAATATATATTTTGTAACGTTTATTCATTTTCAAGACACAGAGAGAGACAGAGCATGAGTGGGGGAGGGACAGAGAGAGAGGGAGACAATCTGTAGCAGGCCTCAGGCCCTGAGCTGTCAGCACAGCCTGATGCAGGGCTCGAACTCACGGAGCACAAGATCATGACCTAACCTGAAGTCTGACGCTTAACCGACTGAGCCACCCAGGCATCCCAATGATTTATTTATTTTTGAGAGAGTCGGGGGGACAGAGGATCTGAAACCAACTCTGCTGCGCTGATAGCAGTGAGCCCAATGTGGGACTTGAACTTCAAGAACCGTGAGATCATGACCTGAGCTGAAGTCGGAGGCTCAACCAACTGAGCCACCCAGGCGCCCCCCCCACCCATGTACTCTAGATTAATTTCCTATTGGTCCCTAGAAAGCATCCTCATTCTCTTCTGTGGCTTCAGTGTCTTCCATTGTGTGGTCTTACAGTATTTTATTTAACCAGTCTCTTACTGATGGATGCTTAGATTATTTCCAGGCTTTTGCTATTATAAATAATGCTATAGTGAATAGTCTTACGCAGAGTGAATTTGTAGAATAAATTCCTAAAAGCGGAGGTGCTGGGTCAAAGGGTACCTGCATTTATAATGTTGATAAATGCAGCCAAATTGCTCTTCGTGGGGGTGATGCCAGTGTGTGCTCTCACGCCCTGGCCCTGAGCCCATCTCCCCTCTTGCCTTGGCTGGTACAGTGAGCTGTCCGATGTCCTGACCTCTGCCAGTCTGATAGTTTAAAAACTGTATCTTAGTGTAATTTTCATTTTCATTTTTCTCATTATGAATGAGGTTAAGTAGGTTCATATGTTTGATCGTTTGACTCTTTTCATATGAACCTTCTTTATATCTTTTGCCCATTTTTCTTTTCGGTTATTGATCACTTTTCTTATTGATTTGTAAAGAGCCCTTCATGTATTAGGGAAATGAGCCCTATTAGTTATAAATACACCTCCCCCTCCCCCAGTTTGTGATTTATCTTTTATTTACATTTTCTGCCATGCAAACATTTTTTTAGATTGCATGTAGTTGAATTTATCAGCTTTTTCCCATGTTTTCTACATTTTGCATCGTGCTTAGAAAGTCCTCAGAGAGGGCTGTTTTGGACTTGGTTGAGCTTGCTCATACAGCCAAGCAGCCACTAGAAAGATGGGCCTGAAATTCAGACGAGAAGACACGTTTGAGAAAGAGATTGGAAAGTCCTCAACGAAGGTGGCATCCATGCAAGGAACAAGCCAGCGTGAGGGAGGAAGCCACCTGAAGCAGGGGAAGGGGATATTCGGGGTGGAGGAGGTTGGGGGCAGTATGGTGCCCTCACTACCACTGAGGCCCTTTGATTCTGCAGGTCAGATGAGCGTGGGTTTGAGTGTCAGGCTGGAACTGCCCTAGGAGGCCTTTTTGCTGCCCCTGGCACACGCCCTCACCTATGGTTTAAGATGTGTGGGCAGGGACCGGACAGGGTCCCCTCTGAGAGGTCTCGCCTTCCTCGTTGCCTGGATGGGAAGTGCCAAGTGTAGGCAGGTCTGCCTGACTGTTCTGGTCCTTCCCTCCGAGGGCCCCAACAGTGACTGCTTTCCCCCACCCCCACCCAATGCTTTCCTCAAGAGAACCCAAGGACCGAGAGCCAAGCCAGCGATTGGCCACCCGCACCCCACCCAGGAGAAGGAAGGGCTTCTGTGAGTGCTGTCAAGAGGCCTTTGAAGAGCTCCACGCGGTGAGCCTTCCCTGCCAAGCAGCTGCTCCCAGGCTGCTCTGACCGCGCTTTTCCTACCCGCCTCCACCCCACTCGCATCTCACCCTGGCCTTGACTAATGCCCTGTGCCCCTCTCACCCCGGGCAGCATCTCCAGAGCGCCCAGCACCGGGGCTTTGCCCTAGAAGCCCACCCGTATGCAGAAGTCGATCGGGTCATTGCCCAGCTCAGCCACAGCTTTGCTGACACCCCCTCGCAGGCCAGCCTCCCCAGGTGAGCACCATGAGCGGCCCTGCTGGCATGGTGGGCACTGCTGTGTCCTCACCGTCCTGCTGCTGCCCACTCCAGAGGGGAAGGAGCCAAACAGGACCAGGGATTGGTGGCGGTTGGAAGCCCTCCATTTGTGGCTTCAGCTGATGGGGACTGGGCCAGATCAGCACATGGCTCCCATCCTGATGCATAGCCATCGCCATGGTTGTGTGGGTAGGGAGGGCAACTCAGCAGTGGCTGCTCCTGGCATGTGCCTGCTGATGTCCCTGTGTGGCCTTCTAAAAGTAGCGAGGGGGATTCCTGGGTTCCTCCCAGACAGGTAAGATGCAGTATCTTTCAGCCTCTCTGTAAGTTACCCCCAGAAAGGATTGCAGGGGGATCTCCAGCCCAGCTTTCTCTGCTGCCACCAGCTTGCTGTGGCTTCTTTCCTCTTGACCCAAGTCTTCACCTCCCCGGGCTCAGCTTGGAGAGCCAGGCTCTGTGCTGCATTCTCCAGCCACCAAAGGGCACAGCCTCTGCTGTGGAATTATTAAATGGAACAGCCTCTAACCTGTTCCTCTGGCCAGCCCTGACCACAGGCCACAGAGCCAAAAGAGACGCAGACAGCACTGGCCGCTACTGCAGGGGCAGCCCGAGAGCAAGCCTCTCACAGAGCCCTAGAGCGGGCCACTCTCTTCATGCTAAAACTGAGAAGGGTAGTGCCATGCATGCCCCACCCACACCCTGCCCTCAGCCCTGACCCAGAAAGATCCCAACTTGCCACCTGCTCTGGAGTTGAGCCCTGAGGCCCATTGTTTCTGTCCCGCAGGCAGCCAGGCTCCCCGTGTTCAGATCTTGACCTGCTGTGTCCTGAGACTCCGCCTCCTAGCCAGCCCTGCCATCCCAGGGCAGCATCTCCCAGGATGAAAGAGGAAGACGAGCATCAGGCCCCAGGCACTCCAGAGCAGGATGGGACGGTGGGCAGCATGAAGGCAACCGATGAACCTGTGGGGGCTGGTGAGATGCTGGGACCAGTAGCAAGCTGCCAGGAGCTAGGAGGGTCAGTTGATGTCATTGCAGACCCCCCAGAGACACCAGTGTCCAGGAGCCCTGCACACCAGAGCCTCTTGACAAGCTCTGGTTCTACAGAACTCTCTGGCTCGGATGTCGCACTTTTTGGCCACAAGCGGAAGATTCGGCTCCCCAGTGGCAATCCTGAAAAGAGGTCAGGGGTCTCCCGGCCACAGGCCTCATTCTTTGTTCCAAGAGCCACCAGCCCTTGTGGCGCCAGGACAGCCAGTGGCGGGCACCCCCTCTTCCTTCCCCCTCCTGATTGTGAGCACAGGCCTCTGGCCCCTCTCCTTCCCTGGTGCCACCCACAGACCTGCCTCCCCCTCCCCACAGATGGGCCAGCAGAGTGCTGGGCCACACAGCCCCCTTGGCCAGGGGAGGACAGCCCCCTGGGATCTGAGGATTCTGAGTGTGCCGCCCCTGGCCCTGGCTGACCAGCTCCCTAGCTGCCCTGTGGCTCCAGGCCAGCTGTCAGCCCACCTGCACTCAGCAGCTGACGTGCAGCCTGCAGGAAGACCCGCAGAGAGCCCGTCTACCTCTGTCCCCTGCTCTCAGCCAGCGGGGGAGCCAGCTGCTCCCAATGGTTCTGGGCCTCCCAGCCTCCCTGTCTCAGCCCTAGCCCAGTGCCAGCAGAGAACTGATACCATGAGTCTCCTGGGGGCACGCAGTAGCTCTCTACTTGAGGGCCAGATACACAGAAGTTATACTCTGCTGAGTGCTGCACAGCCAGCAGGGGCCAGACCAAGCACAGGGAGGACAGCACCTCAGGGCCTCCCCACCAGAGCCAGAAGAGCCGCTGGCCTGGCCTTTGAAGTCCAAGAGAACAGCAGTTGTCATGGCCAAGCTCTGTAGGCTCGACAGAGCCAGTCCTCCCACTCACTGGGTCTTAGGTTAGGACCAAGAGAGTCTGGGCTGGGGGCTGCCCTCTACCCCTTCCTCCAGCCAGCTCCCTGACCAGGCAGCAATCTGATGGGCTTGCTCATCCCTGCCAGCTGCCCACACCAGGAGGCAGAGGCAAGGTTGGCATAGGGAGGGACCACAAAGCATCTAGAACGGCAGGAGCCCTGGCCTGGCTTCCTGTCCCTCTGAAGGTACTTGCCTCTTGCAGAGCCGAGTTTTGGTGTTCCCCACCCCCACCCCAGCCTCCTTTCCCAGGAGCATGTGGCTCTCCTGCTTTCTGAAATGCCTGTTTGTCCCCTCCCCCAGCCCCCCACGCTTGTGCACACAGATCCTCAGGAACATACGAAGCAGAGGAGGGGCTGGGCTGCAGCACCTCCAGAGCTCCCTCGCCCCCCTGCATTTGGTGGGAGCCTGGCGCTGAAATGGCCTTTCTCCTGAGCCCAGGATATGGCCAGAGCCCCCTCTGGGGACTCCTCTGCTCTTCCCTGGCTGCCCTCTGCCATTTCTGCTGTTCCAGGGTCGGGATTCACCTGCCAACTTCTGCATCACCCTCTTCTCTCCCTCCTTCCCCAAGGACCTCCCCCCATTTCTTTCAGCCAAGCCATTAATCTGGAGACGAGATGGGTTTGCTATTGATTCTTTGGCCACTTTTTTTTTTTTTTTTTTTTTTTTTTTTTTTTTTTTTTTTTTTTACATTTTGTGCTGTGGTTCTTCTCACCCTTCTCTGCGTCTGTGTGTTTGTTTCTTTAAATGTTGAAGCTACAAGAAGCCTGGTGCTATTCTGTGTCTCATTTTGGAGGAAGAAAGGGGGGCCTCGCTGTGGGTGAGGACCTGAGTTGTTAGTTTGGAAATAGAGCAACTGTGTGTACAACCCTCATAGAGGTCATGTTTGGCCTTTTTATGCCATTCCTGTTAAATTTCACAATTAATCTTGGTTCAGGAACTGTAAATAAATTTGTTAATAACAAATAGCAAAGGGATAGGGCTGGAATGCAGTGTGTCAGGCCTTGATGTGCCCTCCAGTGACCCAAAGCAGGACTCAAGCCCAGCAGATGTGGACAGAGTAAGTGGATGGCCAGATAGGAGCCCCCTGCAAGCGGGAGAGCGTATGTCACAGCCTCTGAGGGCCGAGGGGAGGTCAGGCGGCATCTGTCCAGTCTCTGGTCACTCATTTGGCTCTGCTGCTAAAGGGGGCCCCAGGAGACCTGAGGCTGGACAGATGGGTGCTGTCCTCAGTGGCTCCTTGGCATGGGGACTATTCAAACCCCTTCCACTCCTCCGCAGATGACCTTGACTCAGACTCCACAGGCATTGCTTCTCCTTGCTCCTGATCCCCTTTCCACATCCAACTCCTACAAAGGAAGCAGTGTCCTTCCTTCCTGTCACTGTCCCTGCTCTACACCCAGCCAGCCTCATCAAATTCCTTTTCTTGGGTTTGCCATCTCTTCCCTCTGCCCTAAAACTCCATCCTGGAAAACACTTGCATTGATTCAGCAGGCTCCCCCCACTGTTCTCCAGCTCCTTCCTGCGGTCTACAGCCACTGCCTCCATGTCTGCACCTTCTTGCCCTTCCAAACCCGCGGAGGCTCTGCCTGAAGCACTCCACTGGGCTTGTCCCTTCCAAGGTCACCGCATAACCTGAGAATTCTCAAAGGCAGATTCACTTTCTCCTTTTCCACCTTGAAACCTGGCTCCCCTGCTCGACCCCACTCTAGCCTGGTCCTCCCCTCCCCCAGCCTCTGCCCTCTTGTACCAGCCTCATTCAGCACAGACCTCAAATGTCTGCCCTGAGTCAGCTCCTAGAGCCCTAACCAGCCCTCTAACACCCCTGCTTCCCTGACCTGGGCCTGGGGGACCTTTGTCCTCACCTCTGCACACCTTCACAGATGTGACCTGGGTGGAGAAAGCTCCACCCAGACTCCTTTTCTGAATTCTACTCCACCTGTGCAAGGTGGGAAGGCAGGGAATCTAGCCACACCCTGACTCGGTGTGTCTTTGGGGGGTCCCTTTACTAATCTGGGCCTCCGTTTCCTCATCTTTCAGTGAGGGGCTTAGATGACATGACCTTCAAAAGTCCTTTCCAATAATAAAATGCCCTGATGGCCACCGGCTCCCTTAGATCCCTCTGTCCTTGCCACCACCACAGACCTACTTACCCAAAGACTTGTTCCTCCTTCCGAGACCGGCTCCCCTTCCCCCTTTGTCCTGCGCCTCTCCTGGTGCCCTCTACCTCAGCTTCTCCCATCAGGCTGAGGTCCTCCTGGTCACTCTCCCTGATGCCCATCCTCTCCTTACAGCCACCCTATCTCCCTGGTCTCTGACACCTCCTGTCCCCAGACCAGCCAGGCTGGTCCCTTGTCTGGCCACCGTGGGCACTCCGGCCTTGAGGCTGCTCTCTGACACTGACCTGGAATCCCCCTCGACAACAGCAAGGATGCCCTATGATTCGAGGTCCAGATTCCATACTCTGAGAATCCTATAGTGTAAGTCACACAGGCCTGCGTTCACTTCCCAGTCCTTCCCTTAACTCTGACCTGGGGCAAGGCTTCTGAGATGCTGTTTTCTTAAGCTGAAAAACAGAGATAATGGTAGTTTCTGCCTTACTAGGAAGTCACAAGAATTAAATCTGGTTATGATGTTATAAACATTCAACAAACTAACTTTTTATCCTCCCCTCCCCTCTGCAACATGTACCTGTGAGGCCTCTCTTTTGGACCTTTCAACAGAGCTCATTTTCACTAATCTCCCACCTCATGACCTATGGCCCTATCTCCTTGTGTACTTGTGGGTGAAGCTGCTAAGGGGTTCTGTGAGACGCCCTGTCCCCAGGCCCGCCCCCACTTTTCCAACAACTGGTTCTCCACAACCCGAGAAATCCCATGTGAGGGGGAGAAAGGGGAGTGGGGTATATGCCACACCCCCCAACCCCGGCATATTGGGCCCTCGGGAGCATGACTATATTTGTGCCCTACAAACCTCTCAAAGGATGGATGCCCCTGGGACCCCAGGCTCCTCCAATTCCTCCCTGAGCTTGAGATTGCAGGAAGGGTTCTCAAAGACAACTGAGAGGGAGGAAGGAGCACTAGACTTCCCTCGGGAAAGATCTCATCAGGTGAGGAGAGTGGTTCTTTCCCAGTGGGAAGGACAGGGCACTGGGCTGGGATCTGGGAGGAAGCAGAAGGACTTTCTGGTCCTGATGGTCTGGGCGTTTTCGCTGCTCCCCACCCCTCAGCATCCTGTCAAAGGCAGTCTCTCCATGTGCAGGGTAGAGGGCCCCAAGACCCCAAGCCACAAAGGAGTCCCTTGAGTCTAGGACAAGGGCCAGGAAGCTGTTTTTCTCCATGGCACCTTCAGGGCCACATGGATGGTGTGAGCCCAGATCGAGGGAGCATTTCTGTACACCAGGTGCCGCTCTGAGGATTTGACGCCAGCCACTCATTTACCCCCTGCAACACTGTCGCGAAGGGGCATTCTAACCCCCATTTCACAGATGAGGAAACCGGCTTGGGGAGACCGGGAGACCTGCTCAAGGTCGCATAGCCCTTAACCAGGACTGGGACATCAGCTGGTTGCCTGAAGCCCTAAGTCCTGCTCTTCACATGGCCCCACCCTGCCCTCGCCTGGCGTGGCCTCTGCGGCAGGCCTCGAAGCCTGGGCATGGGGCCTGGATAGACTCCGTTGGCAGGAATTCCCACCCACCATGTCTTCCAGGATAGAGTTTTTGGGCAGAGGGAAGGAGAGGGGCCAAGGGCAGCAGACACCCCTCCCTTACCTGCAGCTGCTGGGACTACATCTTGGCCCCACATCAGCCCAGCTTGGCCCCTGTGCAGGAAAATTTGAGGGAAGAACTGGCTGGAGGGCAGGACTTCAGGGAAGGAGGCCCCAGGCCTCTCGGTGGTAAGGGCTCCTGGAGGAGGGCTGGGGGTGGGGACCAGAGCCTAACAGCTCCCTCAGCAAGAGTGAACCAGAGGGTGGCCATCAAGACAGAATAGTGACCACCAGTCTCTGATTTCCAGAGTCCCGTCCTCCTCCTGGAGCAAACAAGCAATGGGCAGAAGGGACCAAAGTAGCCCTCCATAGCTGTGTACTGGGGTAAGGATTCTCCCAGGGAGCCCCTGGTGTGAAGAGATGCTACCTCCACAGCTCTTGACCTCAGGAGAGAAGGTGGGTGAGAGAAACAGGCAGGCTCCTGTGTGGGAGAGGTGTGAAGCTTGTAGCAGAAGCAACACAGGAGTCACAGGAGCGGGAAGGTGGGACCTCAGCCTCGAGAGTGAGGTGCGCTCAAGGGAGGGTCAAGATACCAGCTGAGCCTGCTTGAAGCAGCCCACCCAGGGAGAAAAGGGGGCTGTTGGGGGTCATGGGGCCATATAATTGAGCTACCATGGGAGCTGGCTCAGAATGCCACCAGAGAAGAGCCAGTTTGGGGGCCAGGAAGAACTCTCAACAGGAACCTCAAGGAACGAGAGCCACAGAAAATGGTAGCAATGTGCCTCGACCAGGCCCAGGCCACAGACTGAGCATGCTGTGTGGTCTTGGTCATGCTGGGGGAGGGGATCCAGACTCCCCCAGGCCCAGTGCCCTCCACTGTGCAATGACAAACCCCACCTATTCTTCTGGGAGGCACACAAGATTGGGGCTCACTGATGTGGCCCTGGAACTGGTGGGACAAGACAAACACTGGTGTCTGGAGGAGTCAGAGAGTGGAAGGTGGGATAAATG